TATGTTAATGAGAGAAAACTCAGTGTCCCAAGTCTTTCTATGGGGACAGCCAGATTTTCCTGTCACTTTAAATTTGTACAGAGAGCCTTGCTGTCTCTCTGAAGGCTTGCTACTCCAAGATATCTAAAGGGTAGGAAATATATACACATTTTATTTTGGGATGCACTGTTACCAGTGTCAGTGCTGATACTGGGCATTTTCACAAGTACTTGTACTCATGAAAATGCTCTGATACTAAGTGCCAATACTGGCGCTTTACGTTTTTTAAACTGAAGCCGGCGCGGTGCACAGGCGCGCGGTTCACAGCAAGCAGGGTACCTTGGCAGCCTTCCTGTAAACCGCGGTGCCTGTTTACAGTGATCCTCCTTCCTGAAACCACGCTGCTCATGAGACCCCTCACAGCCACCCGAGGTCTCTACACAGCCTCACGAGGTCCCACACAGCCAGCTAAGACCCAGTACAGCTGCCCAGAGACCCCGCACAGCCCCCCTAAGACCCTTCACAGCCTTCCCGAGACCCTTCACAGCCTTCCCGAGACCCTTCACAGCCTTCCCGAGACCCTTCACAGCCTTCCCGAGACCCTTCACAGCCTTCCCGAGACCCTTCACAGCCTTCCCGAGACCCTTCACAGCCTTCCCGAGACCCTTCACAGCCTTCCCGAGACCCTTCACAGCCTTCCCGAGACCCTTCACAGCCTTCCCGAGACCCTTCACAGCCTTCCCGAGACCCTTCACAGCCTTCCCGAGACCCTTCACAGCCTTCCCGAGACCCTTCACAGCCCTTCCCGAGACCCTTCACAGCCCTTCCCGAGACCCTTCACAGCCTTCCCGAGACCCTTCACAGCCTTCCCGAGACCCTCCGCTGGAGACATCAGGCCGGCACCTCGAAGCAGCACAAAGTATGTAGCTTCCTTCATTTTGCTATTCTCCTGTGCTCCTCACTGATGGGGAACTTCGTCCACCACTTCCTTATCACCTACCTCCAGGACAGGCATGCTGGCACAGAGATCACCAAGCCATGTATATCCTGGCATGACCCACATTACTTTAGATACTGTATGTATATCCAGGTGCCTGTGGAGTTATAGGCTGTGTTTACACATGCCGGTCACAGATCAGCCTCCAGTTGCACTGTTAACCTTGTGACTTGCCAAAATGTTACAATATCGCAGTCTCCAGTACAATACTACAGTAGGGAATGTTTACATCGGATCGGCCACCTCAGGTCCCGGGCTTGTGTGGTCCTGAAACGGCCTTCCAGGGACCTGGCAGTAGCTGTCTCTGACGCTGCCTGCCAGGTCCCACGTCTCCTCCTATTGATTCAAGGTGTGAATGTGCAGTGCCTGGCTCGAGGCAGCCCCACACCTTGAATACAGCCTTGGAGCGGGCACGTGACCGGCACCTGCTCTGTTCGGCTCACTACCGTAGATTGGGCTAAGCAAAAGGCACCTGTGAAAGTTCAGGAGTCCAGGAGTAAGCGCTCTAGGAGGGGTTGGGGACGCTGGGTGTGCAGCACAGCACCAGTCAGAGCCTGTGGAGAGATGCAATAAGCAGCCCTGGTGACATCAAATCTGGACGCAGCCCCGGTGGGATCTGGACGCAGCCTGGTGGGCTCTGGATTACATATATGTCACAAGGCTGCGTACAGATCTCACCAGGCTGCGTCTAGATTCTTAATGCAACCTGGTGAGATCTGTATTTAGCTCTGGTGAGATCTGGACGCAGCCTGGCGGGCTCTGGACTACATATTTCACCAGGCTGCGTCCAGATTCTGAACGCAGCCTGGTGAGATCTCTATTCAGCCCTGGTGACATCTGTATGCAGCCCCGGTGAGAAACTGCCTTAAAATTATTAGTCTGTATTGTTTTAGAAAAAATGTCACATGTCCCTTTAAGAAAAAGTATCGGTAATTGGTATCTGCGAGTACCTGGTATTCTGTGGTCACATTTTTTCCATGCAGACTTACAGCACACTGAAAAGGTCCACTTAAAGTAATAAGAACCCTTTACTAAATAAGGTCAGTGACAAGTGCTTAACAGATATTTATTCTCACGCAATAAGAATTCCTTAGTTCTTACAGCATTCTTAATTGGCTTAGGAATTATTTATTAGTCTGGGGTTTAGGGCATTTAGGTGATTCCTTTGATTTGCACAAGTTCACCTTGAGAAATGGTATAAAACCTGTACAGATTGTGGGTTTCTGATCTTCAGCTGTCTATGGTATATTGCAAGACCCACTTTCTCCAGCATTCCTGCACAGAAGTTTTAGGCAGCTGTGAAAAAATGCTGTAAAGTATGAATGCTTTCAGGAATAAAAGTGTTAACAAAATGGAAAGTAAATGCAGTAAACTGCTGCCATTTTTCTGGAGCCTTGTGGCCTCCAACATACCTCCAATGTGGAAACAAGGCTAAGCCACTCAAGTACACACGGAAATATAGGAACTGGGGTGCAGAAAAACGGCAGCAGGTATTCTGGACTGATGAGTCCAGAATACCTGCCTTATTATTACCTTACCTACCTTTTTACCTTACCTACCTTATTATTATACTGAATAAGGTAGGACTTAGCATTTTCCCACTACCTCTTACTATTAGGCTTGAACAAGAAGATACTTTGAAATGCATTGCCCTATCCCATTCCTTTCTCATCCCGACACCACTTTTCTACCTCCCTTTACCTCCAGTGGATCGTTTCATCACTGGCCGGTCTGAAAGCTGCACCCTTCTACCCACACAGCCTCCTGCTACCAGCCGCTGCCCCGCTCCCTTAGGCTGCCCCATAAGACTCTGCTACCCGCAGCACCATCTTTAGACACAACGCACACCCCAGCCAGAGAGTTCCTTCCCCCCGCCTGAACAGACCACACATCTGTTCCGACATCTAGCAACCTGCCTGCCTCATGGTGAAAGCAACCTCAAGGATTCCTGCTGACAGATAAACTGCTCTGCAAATTACAGCAGACAGAAGCCACCAGTGGGATCGTGACAGCTGGACAAGCTCAGTGGAGGAATAAACCGGCATTCCAGTCTTGATTTGACAGCTCTTGTTCCTAGAGAACCGCTGTGAGTGCATACTATTCCTTCATTTACACAGACTGTTATTTGGGTTTTACACATGACCAGCTTGCCGATTTTCTGCGGTTTCTATTCCCACATGCTGCCAGTTACATCCTTCCCTGCACCACCTTCTTCACACATCCAGTGAGCGATACAACTAACAGCTGAAGAAGAATTGATACAATGTATCCAGAGACCACTCTCCAGATGATTGCTTTATACTCCGCTTCATTTGTGAGTGCAACTTTGTCATTCATCACTTTTACTGTTTACTCACCCAGTTAATGCACCAGGTCGTGGCTCTCCCTCTCCCTTGTGTTTCTTAGCATTTTTCTAATTACTATGCCACATAGAACGCTTGCAGAGAGCACTGTTACAAGACCTGTATGTAGGTCGTGTGGCAGGAAAAGGCTGCTACAAAAGCAATGATTAGCCTCCCATTATAAAAAATATACTAACATGTGGCATGTAGGAGTCCACTTAAGTGGCCGTAGAGTCACCGCCTATTCATTTAGCCTAGGTATTTTATCTGCTGGCAGCGGATGCATGTCACATTGTTCCTGGAAGTGTATTGTACATCAGAGTAGTGTCTACAAGATGTGTATGGAACTGGCCAGTCTGCTGGCTGAGGTTAAACTGTAGGAGTACAAGTAGTAGATGAAAGCTCAAAACTGCCTGCAGGGATATGGTCAGGTATATGACTACACAAACCAGCAGAATCACAGCAGTGTCCCCCTTTTATGACCTGCTAGCAGTATAGGCATTGCATCTTGCATTCTGTTACTTACTTTTGAGTCCTGAAGTAAGCAGAGTAAAAAGGGAAAGGTGAAAGCAGACTGCAGTGCTTTCTAAATATTGTAACGGCAATAACAGGTGGCAGAGTTGCACATTTCATGTCCAAAGAGGTGCATCCAGTGTAAGCAATGTAGTCTGTTTGCAAATCTCCATTTTTGTTAATAAGTAGGACACAGAGTAGAAATGGCTCAAAGCAGCAGCAAAATGGCCACTTTAGACTGAACGGTTAATAATGCCCTATAGGTATTTTGTTTTAAAGAAGAACTCCAGGAAAATTTTTAATTAACCTTTGCAGTGGGGCTACGACCGGACTGCAAGGGTTAAGTGTTCATTTGTGTCTAGGTGCTAACAAAAAGTTATATTCACCAGACCATCTGAGACGGCTCGTTCTTAGGCCGGTGTCTGGAACATCTCTCCCCTCTGCTGCAGCGGTCTCAGGACCCTGGTGCAGTGGCGTCACGAGGCCGGGTGTCACCCGATCTAGAAAAAGCTTGGTACTGATCCGAAGAGGGAATCAGATCAAAGTTCAAAGTAGTTACAAAGTAGTTTATTCAATAAAAACAGTCATTTTGGTGTCACCCCTGCAATGGTGACACCCGGGTAGGGGCTGCACCCCCGTTGTGACGCCACTGCCCTGGTGTCATCACACTCTATACGCTGTGCATAGACTTGGGAATGCCGAGGAGCAGTCCCATCTGTGCAGCGGCGGAGGAGACGCACTTCAGTGGTCACAGAAGCAGGGAGCCGGCTTGGATGGTCTGGTGAGTATACCTTTTTTTTTATAGCACCTAGACAATAAAAAATGTTAAAAACATTTTAACAGGACTTCTTCAACTGTTATATATGCATATAAATACATTAAAAGGTCACTTAAGTACATACTTAGAACCTTTTAGCTTTAAGCGGATTTATATTATAAAGAACTCTTTAAAAAAGAATACACAGCCTTGGATATACATAAAAAAACAATGCAAACATTTTATCGGAGAATGTTTAGAACACCTAAATGGTTGTAACTGCAGCTTACTTCAATTCTATAAATGCTCTAAATACTATAGTGAGGTGTATAAAGTGTGCGGAGGAAATCTTACCCCATGTAGTTCAAAAAACTAACCACAAGATGGCAGCATAGACAAACATTACAGGTACCTGGGACTGTTCAGCATCTTGACGGAGAAGTTCTAGTTGATGCCAGGAGGACAAGCCACACGTTTCCTCTGGAGTTTTTCTATCTTGAGAATTTGCATGGAGCTGATCCGTAAGCCACATCTGAGTCCTTAAGGAAGACTGAAGGGGGGATCCAGCCTGGTAACCCAAGTGGCTAAATTTTGAAACATTGTCACTGGCTGAAAAAGATTTACTTTCTGGTAAGGCACTGTAGGTCATGTCTAAGGTATGTCTCCGACTGGGAGTAGCAAATGGCGAAAACTCTGTGCTGCTACAGCTGTCAAATTTATATTTGAGGTCCACACTTGCCAGTTCTTTCTTATCAATGTCTTTATCATCCAGTTTCAGTGCCTCCATGCTGTAGTGCAGACACGATGGCCTGTATCCTCGTGAGTGCTGGGAAAGAGTGACATCTCTACTCATACGATCCAGGCTATGCCTTGACCCTGTGTTTTCAACTTTGCCATCCTGACCAAAGGCATCTGGAGTGCTCAGTTTAGTAAGAGATGACCACTTCTTGATGGGCCTGGAGTCCTTCATATCAAGTGGGCTATCAGAATGGCCATAGATCCTGCCTATACCAGACAAAGTATAGTTGCTGTCCCAAGCGGATGTGTCCAGCCGGTCCTCTCTGTGTCTGGGCACTGATGACCTGGCTGTGGAGGGCATGACATGGGCAGAAGGAAGACTGACCAGTGGGTGCACCGGCTTGAATGTAGAAGTACCGCTGGAAGTTGAATGGTCTAGAAAAGAAAAAAAAAGACAGAGATTAAACAAACAGGAACGCAGGAAGTAAAGAATGAATTAGAAAATGTAAATTCTGTAGGCACTCATGTACAAATATGGCTGCACTGATCATGCATAACATTTTGGAAGATTTGTATGTATGGAAGCATGGCTTCTGCTGGCAGCAATCACCATGCAGTACTGAATTCTACCAGCAGAGGGCGTTCCATATTAATAAATTAACCTTCAGAAAGGCTCCAATGTTTTCAGATGAAGATTCTGATTATGATACAGTGCAAAAAAAGGAATGCAGAACTGCGGCGCCTCAGTATACCGCGAGATGTAGCTCGCGGTATACTGAGCTTAGGGTAACGGGAGGACGCTAGTTTGTGTCCTCCTGTTACCCTAAGGAGAACTATGGGGAAAAACACTGACCCCATAGTTCTCCTTTAACGCTGAACTCCAGCATTACCTTCAGTCTAACAAAATTGCTTACAAGCTCCTCTCCTCTACTAAAATTGCTTACTCTGATTTCACTGCACACTGCGAGCTTGAAGAAATGTGCAATAGAACCTGCAGCAAATCAGACAGAGCTTGCCTCATTTCCTGGCTGGAGGATGTCCAGCATCATCCAGCGCTTTGCTCCCCCACCTTACTGTCCCTGGCCCATCCTTTTTTATTCATTGGAATTCAGTTATTTCAATCATGGAGGTTAAGCATCACATGTGGACATTATTTCGGGCAGTCTATATGCAAATAAAGTCAAATAGAGAGTCCCACCACACTCCTGACCGAGAAGCCCCATATAATGTTGTGCTGAAGTGGCCGCTGATGGCCCCGCCAAATACTTGAAAATTTTATATGCAAATAAAGTCTGCCTTTAACACTCCGGACTGACACCTGTCAAAGAAGGCATGTTGATTTTTGCATAATTGCTCTCAAGAGCCAGCCCGTGACTTGCATCAGGACTGGGGGCCCTCGAGAGGAGCACAGAGGCAGGGCACTGTGATCTTTTTCAGAAAGCTATGTACAGCCCCCATCACCAGCTATGATTTGTCTGCATCGCATGGAGAAGCACAGAGACCCAGGGATGACACCACTGGTTTTAACATAAGGTATGTATAGAAAATGGAAAGGTTTCATTTAAAGAATGTTATTAGCACACTGATGAGGGTGTAAGAGGAACCAGGAAAGGCAAAATATGAGCAGAATAAAGCAGCTTTAATATTGTAATAATTCAAATCACAGTCATGCTGTCTATGCCTATTTCATTGTTAATTTCGTCCCCTATAAGCTCTTGCATTGGTAACATGCACATTAGAAAGAGAATAAAACAGCAAAGGTTATTATACACTTCAACCAAATCCCCATGCTTATTTCAAGGTTCACAAACCACTTTCTAAGCACTCGGAGGCGCTTGTCCTTTTCCTTGTCCTTGCAGCAAAGCAGCCTAGGTCCTGTATACCTATTAAAAGCAAGGTGAACAGTTGTTTGCTGCTCATGGCAAACCTGTACTCAGAAATGTATATATGGAGGCTGCTACCCTCTGAAAATGCTAGTTGCCCAGCTGTTTGTATGCTTGTTACCAATCACTGACTCCAAAGCAACAGAGCCTGTTAGATTAGGTTTTATGATGTCATTCTGGTGCCACTATGTATAAGTTTTAGATCTCCAAATACTGTATATTGAAGTCACGTGATTAGCATGACAGACAGGGAATGAGCATTTTCAGAAAGATAGGCCGGCAAAGGTAAATGCTTTTTTACAGAAATGCCCAACTACAATAAACTCCCCACTATCTAGAATCCACAGGGATTGGTAGATTCTGGATGAATGTAGTTTCTGGTTGCTTGAGAGTTACTATTAAAAATAGGTCTAAATAATGCCATACACCATACTATACCATATCATAACATAAACTTTGTATTGACTTCACATTCATATTGAAATGTAGTAATCAAAAGCAAATTAAGACAAATAGACACACAATCCTTTCCAGGATCATACATGCTGCAGAATGAGCAAAACAGCGAGTGCACAGGGGATTTTCTTTTTTTGTTCTGGTTAAATGAGAGTTTTGGTTAGTTGAATACCGGATAACAGAGAGTTTACTGTATTGGGCTTTAGACTTGGGGAAGCTATAGCCGGCATTAACATAAATAAGAAGGTGCATTAAATTTGCAATGGGGCCACCAATCAGCTATATGCGCTTGGGCCCCTGGGGAACTAATAACAAAAGTTTGCAGAAATGTTTTTAAAAAAAAGGCACTTCCATAACCTACAGTACCGTCACATGCATTTGTGCACACCTAAATCTTGTATTTGGTTTTGATCCCATGTTGGTTTTCTTGCTGTCTGTGTACCTGTTGGGGAGATTTTCATATCACTGGAGAGGAAGTAATGAAAAAACTCTCCAATGAGGACACAGACGTTAAAACCCACATTATGAACTTTCTAGCAATGTTTTTATTGACATCTATGCCTTTATGTACAGGTAACAATCCCCCCCCCTTTCTTTTACGGCTATGAGTAAGTAAAACGTCTACCCAATGAAGCACAAATTGTAAATCTTCCCTAATACAAATTCATCCCCACGCAGCTCCCTCCTCATGTATCACTTGCCCCTCCCTTTTAGATTGTAAGCCCTCACGGGCAGGGCCCTCCTTACCATCTTGTCTTGAATTGCATTGTAATATCTTCCCTATATTGTAAAGCGCTGCACAAACTGTTGGCACTATAAAAATCCTGTATAATAATAATAATAATACTATCCAAGACTAAAAAAAATGGCTGCAGTCAGGCTCTGTAGCACTCTTTTTCTTTGGGCACCTTCTTTACAATAATAAGCTGTTTTGCTGTAGTTCCTGTAACTTGTTTGTTTTCTGACGTCTTTGACATAATGGGTTTTAGACAAGCTTTGCAGTAATTATGCTCTATTTTTACTCTCTGTCCAAGTGGCACATTCTGGGCACATTCACATTGGTGACTAAAAGAACAGGGCAGATGATCCCGGGGTCAGGAGGAATGTCAAATCACTCAATTCAGAAGTGGGCCTGACAGGATTACACCAACCTAAGCAGCTAATCTACTTGCTAAATGCAGCTTTCCAGCCAGGCGAGTAAACAGGTCGAGGATGTCTACCACAGAACCAAAATACAACTCACTGAAGACACAAGGAACGTCTATTTATAAACATTTTTCTTTTTATGGAGTAAACAAGGAGCCTTACATAGTTTTTGGTTTGTCAAATATGCAAATGGAACAACAACAATAATAATCAGGGCTTGAAAAATGTTAGGGTGTCTCACAAGACAAAAATGTCACCAGTAAGCATGACCGGACTATAGCTTTGCAATTTATGTCAATATTTTTTAGGGACAGATAAGAGTTTTCATTTGGAGGTATATAATCCCCACTGGGGGGGGTCAGAGACTTGTTTATTTTTTACTATATAATGAAAAAAGTAGCGAAAATTTCAGGGGAAAAAAAGCCATATGTTATGTTAAAAAACATTTATTCTTACCCAATTTTTTTGTAAAATATAAAAGACGGGGGTCACGTTGGGTAAATAGACACCAAACATGTCAAGCTTTAAAATTGCGCACACCCGCAAAAAAACAACCACACAGAAATTTGACCATAGGCGACGCTTTAAATGCTTTTACTGCTCACCAGTTTAGCGTCATCGGTGATTGATGGCCCTAAAATGATTGCTCTCACTCTGACGTTCGCAGTGATATGTAACATGTCTGGCACAATAGACGCAATCGTCATTTTCGCACAAAGGCGCACGCAACGCATGTTTGCATGTGTATATGGGGGGACTTAAAAAAAAAAAAAAAGAAGAAGTGTTGTTTTTTATGCTGCTTTATTTTTTTTATTTTTACACTTAACTTTACTGCCATAACATAGTGGGCTAAGAAGCTCCCTATGTGATAGCCAATTTACATGACCGGTCCCCTTTATGGAGACATCAGGGGTCTCCACGACCCCCGTCACCTAGGGACCCCCCAGAGAAGCTGATGAAGCAGAGATCTACTTCACCAGCTTCTCCCCAGCCGGGAATGACAGCTGAATGCGGAAGTGATATAATATACATCACTTCCTGCATTCGGGGACTGAAGAGGAGGTCAGAGGGAGAGCGTGTACCAATCTCCCTTTGATCTCATGTCACAGAGCAGCCATGCTGACCCAGGTGCACCGGACACAGCGGATCTCAGGACCGGCAGTGATAGTGATATCAGCGTCTGCGGGGGGTTAAACCACAGCTAATACAAGCAGTTGGGAGTCTAGAGACGCCCGATCGCTTGAATGTAAAGCTTCCAGCCGGCTGTTTAATTACAACGGCCGGCCGGGAAGCTACTCGTTCTGCTCCGGCATTTTTCAAGCCCTGGTAAAAATAATAATACTGGAAGTCCTGCTACATGATCACAAATTTCAAACTGCTACAATCACAAGTGTGATTTAGCATTTGCTCTGACTCCATACAGGTCAGGAGTAGGTTAACTCCAGCCCTCCAGCTGTGGTAAAACAACAAATACCATCATGCATCTGCCTCTGCCAGTCAGGCCTGTGGCTGCCAGAGTCTTGCAATGCCTCATGGGATTTCTAGTTGTACCACAGCTGAAGGGCCGGAGTTTTCCAGCCCCTGATATAGGTAGCCAATAAACCATCAGACATCAGCTGTCCATACACTTTACAAACTCATTGTGCAATCTCTGTGCAATCTCTGTGCAATCTTTTGGAGTAGCCACACATGTATCAACATGCCCATTCAATCAGCCATTTGGTGCAAGTAAAAATATTTAATTGAACAAGGATTGCAAGCCAAAGATCCTTCATTCAACTGATTTAAACACTGGGAAGTTGATCGGCCATGGCAGAATTTTACTGACCATTTCTGTTTACTTAAATATATGCAATGTGTTAGACAACAGGTTGTAATACAGATTCATATGTGAAATTGATACCACATGTGCTGCATCAATATTTTAAACAATTATGAAGAGCTTGTTTG